ATTCTATTTCTCCCTGTGGGATCGATATCTAGGACTCCATTAGAGCCCTATATTACTTGAGCGATACGTATACTTGCGTTGACAAATTTGACTTTAACATTATTGAATATTATATCTATACATATTTATTAAATCAAACATATATATATAAAGTTGCAGTCAAGTTTTTGGCATCGTTATTGGAATTCAAATCTTCTAGTAGCGTCATCAAATTCTTGTAATTGTTGATTTACAAAAAAAGGTCGGTCATCAAACCAGAAACAAGTCTCAATTAAAACCAAAAGTAGTTTAAAATAAAAAGATTAAAACTTATCTCAAGTCCTTCACCAAACTCTTGAAGTTCCTTTGATTCTCTTCTTTTTATAATCACTCAAAAGAAAATAACAAAAAGGATAAAGTAAAAGTAAAAGTGGTGCCTGAAAATTTCTCCAAACTAGCTCCCCAAATGAGAACTTTCAAGACTTTCCAATACTTTCAGGACCTCTTTCAAAGTACCAATCTTCTTTCTTTTATAATTTTCCAAAAGGTGCCTTGGTTTCTCTTCAAAATATGTCTAAATTCGATGTATTTTCCCAAGAGGTGCATCCTTTCATGATTATTTTTGTCCATGGTGTTTACAACAACTTATTAAGCCAATGGGTGCCTGAAAAACCTGTTCAAAATTTGTATAAATAGAATTTACTCGTCCAATAACTGCTACTGGAGCTTAAGCGTGGGGCCTTTAGTGCTTAGGCGGGACCTTCTCTGTTTAACCGGTGCGTAAGCGCCAGATCTGGCGCTGAGGCGCCAAAAATTTTTTTGCACATTTTTCACAACACAATAGAATGTTTTCTTATATTAATAATAAAATCAATACAACACAAACAAACACCAAGAAATCACTTAGATGTTCATTCAAAACATACAATACAAACCACACTAAGTCTTTAAACGAATACTATAGGCACACTATACAGAATTACACAACATTAAGAATAGACATTTTAATATAAAAAGAGCCTTTAGCACTATTTTTGATCAGTGGTGATATTCTCCATTCCACTCACCAAAAAATTTCTATTGTAGCAATGGTAAAAAGGAGCACGGGGAAATTTCTTAGGAAACTTATCGTCAATCCACTTGTTGGTGCTATACATTGTCACTTGACTATCTTGAAAGCACGCCAAACTATTGAATTGCAGTTTCAATTGCCA